ATCGCTTAATATAGAATACCTGAAAGCTTCTTCAGAGCGTCCGCAATCTGCACCAGCTCTCGTCGATAATCATCTTCGCAGCTGCACCGAATTCCACTCGCAATTAGCAGCAGCAGCAACGGAACCGTCCAGAGCAAAGGCTTCTTCATCTTCATCTGGTTTCTCGACTAGATGCATACAATAGTAATATCCGACAGATAAACTAAACATTTCGATCGCGATTCTCTTTGTAGCTCAAGGTTCCGATATATTATAAATAATTTTCCAGAGATAACGCCGATGATACATTAATCTCTGTCTGTTCAAGCTTCAACTCGTTTAACAGTTTCATATACAAATTTATTACTTTTGTAAGTTGTAAAAAATATCTCATATAAACATTAAATATATTATATCTATATATATATATATATATGTGTGTGTGTGGTGTGTGTATGTGTGTAAACAAAAATATATTTTATCTTAATAATAATAATAAGCGATTAGAAGAGTGGTGAATGAGGGGGGGGGGGAGGAGAGTGAGAAACGATTTCGACAATAAATTAATGTTTCTTTCTCCATTTTTTTCTTGACTCTGTGCATTCCTATTAATAGATGGTTACGTTTAATAAATTAGAGCCTCGCCCAGAATCATTTTCGCCGTCATTGCTGCATCCAATTCCATTAATTGTTATTAATAGAAAATTTGACTCGCGTATTGCACAAGTAGTAGAAGTAGTAAGTAGTAGTAGTAGTAATATTATTATATGAATGTATGATGAGTATATAGCGTTGTTGTTGTTGTTGTTGTTGGTTGTGTTATTTCAGTTGCGTTTCGACGAGTTGATTAGATATTTGCAGCAGTGGGTGAGCAGATGCTTCTCGCCGACAATCTCGTGACCGGGCACCATCTCCCTGGTGTAGATGTCCAGACCGTACTGTCCCTCCTCCAGGAAGCTGATGTTGAAGGTGACGATGTCGTCGAGGATACTGTGCGACACGAACTTCGAGAGACGTTTCTCCTCGACGCCGTTCTTGTGCAGAGTTGCCATGAAATCGGTGAGCTGCCGCGACATCCTGAACTGAATCTCGAGCTCGCGTCCTGCGAAGACGAGCGCATCCTGATGCGTGATGGGAACGAGACCGAACAGTCTCGTCGCCTTCGTCGGACCCCATTCGCCGCTCGCGCAATCCGGCAACGGCACCATCACCGTCTGCAGCTCCTCGCAGCAGATCTTGAACTTGCAGACGCTCTTGAACTTCATCGGTTCGCCGGTCAGATACTCCTTGGGAGTGACGGCGTTCGCGAAGATGTCGAGGAGGAATGCACCGGAGCAAGGAGCGTGCACCCGGAACGCGACCATGTTGCCACCGACGGACTGCATGACGAACCTCTTCAGCGAGACACTCTCGAACGTGTCGCCGTCGCTGTCGTAGAACTTGAGGTTGTAGTGGAAGATGAGGCTGCCCTGCATGTGATTGGGCATCGCTATCCGGACGGTCGCCGCCCCCGTCGAATCCGTGTACATCACCGCCTTCGTGTTCGGATCGGAGAAGTAGAGGCCGTAACGGAAGAAGAGTGAACGGACGAACGGCAACTCTTCGAACTCTTGCAGCTTGATGGGTTGCTTGAGGAGTTGCCAGTCGGATTGCAGGGGGAAAAACTCGTAGATGAACTCTTTGGGGTCGGTGAGGAAGTAATGGTCGTCGTACTCGTAACGGAGGCTATCAGATTTGGTCTTGTTTCCAGCTTTCGGCGCTTCCTTCGCGTTCACCAGGTGACGGGCGCCCCAATTGCACTGGACGAAACGCCACGCGCCCGCCACGTACACCGCGTTCCACGAGTTCCTGAATCTGTTGTCCTCGAAGCGAACACCCGGCTGATAACCGGCCGATTTCGAGTAACCTTTGATGACGACGCAATGCAGACCGGCGTAACTGAAACGAGAAGATCATGCAAATCATGGTCGTCTGACCATTGACAGACATAGCCGCATACCTGCAAAGTCGTTTGAAGAGGACGTGGTAACTCTCGGTGCCGTTCTTGATGCCGCGCAGCAAACCCATCGGAGAATCACCTCGCAGATTGTCATCGAACGACATCGTGTTCAGATTCTTGACTGTGATCCAACGGAATATCGTTCGAGCCTTCTCTATGTCCGAGCCACATCTGCCAACCAATTGTCTGACTAAATCCGTGAACGATTTTTGGTCCTCTTGCGCTACCTACAAAAACGACAACAACAACAACAACAAACATTCAAAACATCATAATCATCATCGTCGTCGTCGTAGATTTTACCGAAATAGCAATTTGGTCGACGTTCGCGAATTCGATTGGATCGCTGTAGATTTGGAACTTGGAGAGGGCGGGTGGAGCTGGGTCAGGCGCGAGGCTCGGATACGGTTCCAGCTCCTCGGTCGGGTCCTCCAGGTACAGAGATTCGGCCATCATATACTCGCTTCGCTTCTCGTTGATCAACTCTAACATTTCGTGACTCTGCTTCTCAACGAGCGCCGCCGTCGCCGCTCTGCACACACACACACACGATCAACATTTTATCGATCAAACAAATCCCAACACCAACAACAAACCTTTCGTGTTCCAACATCTTCCTCGTAAGCGACTCCTTCTTCTTGTCCCTGCGCAACGTCATGTTCTTCTCAAGATCGTCTTTCTCCTGCTGATGTCGCAACGTCAGCACGTTCTGATCGTCCCTCTTCCGTTTCACCTGCATCTCTCGCTCGAATCGGTTCGTCAGCCTTTGCAATTCTTTCTCCCATTCGTCCTGCAAATACACACGAACAACAACGACAACAATATTCAAATGATAACAACTTGATGAATACACTTGATGCAAACCATTATCTCGTCGCGCATCCTCTTCTCCTCTTCGTCGCGGTTCCTCTTGAACTTCCTGTAGAGATCGTCCTCCTCCTTGCGATGTTTCATTTCCAATTTCCTCTGTTCATCCCGATCCTACAAGAAGAAAATACAAAAATGTGTAAATTCGGTTGCAGCATAATTAACACGTTTTGAATTTAATACGCGCAATCGCGCTGCATCTTAAGTTGGTTCGAAATTAAATTTAATTCATCCTGCAGATGATTTCAGTCAACGAAAATTCCTAAATATCTTTGAAATGGAAATTGCGATGGGAACGTGCTCGCTGATGCTTTCGTAAATCCGCAGGTGTTTCTCGTTTGTTGTTCACCCGAGACAGTCCACCAGATGGAGAAGATGACATCCAAGGTTGTTGTTTTTCATTCTATAAACATGGGTGTAACGCGTGTGTGTGTGTGTGTGTAGGTATGTATTTTCGTACGAATCCGCGAAAGGACATCGAACGAAAAAGAAGGAAAAAACAGTTGCGCAACAAAACGTTCTTTTCTAAAACTGCGCGAAACAAACAAACAAATCCTAAATTATCTCTTGCCGCGTTTAACTGTTCATATTTAATCATATTTATTCTAGAACTAGACGACGTTTCTCTGATTAATAATAATAATAACAATCGCGTTGGCGTGACATTTTCCAAATGCCAATTAGCTTCCTTTTTTTTCCTCTCTTGTTTCCGATATGATATTTTATTTCCTTCCTTCCTGCCTTTCCTTTCTCTTCATCCTTGAAAATGCGTTTTCTTTAATTTTCGTTCGTTTATTTCATTTAGCTTCCAGCGAGAGGCTGAAGAAGAAAATGCCTGCGCCACTACGACTTTCTACATTTCAAGACGACAACGATGACAATATCTGTCTGTATACTTGTAAACTCAATAGAGACAAAGAGAGAGTGAGAGAGAGATAACGTGTGGCAAATGAAAGAAAGAGAGACATGTTCGCAATATTCCAGAAACTGACACAGTTTGGAGTGTTAAAACGTTGCCGCAAACGTATTTGCATTTAGTGTTAGCCGGTCGCGGCATTCCTTCTCGTTTTCAATATATTTAAGAAACGAGATCCAAGGCTGCATAGTAGACCGAATTTCACCGCGAAACAGCGAAACGAATATGACACATCATGTCACACATCTGAAATTTAATTAAATGTTCTCATTTGAACGTACTTTGCACGTTATCTATTATTAGCTTTTATATTATAACAAACACAGCCAGATTTGATGAGGAATCTTCTCGTAAATGTCAAGGTGTTTTTTTTTAAATGGCAGATTCAAACGAGTCATCCAAAATGTCAATGTCAAAAGTGTCAATTCTGACATTGACATTTTTCTGGATTCGAATTTATCTCCCTCTCTCTCTCACACACATCATTTTGATTATGTATTTGGAGAAACTTGTCGTCGCACTACATTCCCGATCATCATGATGGCAGTGATGGTTATGAGCGGTGCGGCAAGAAATGAAAGTTGATTATTTATATTTTAAAAGTAGGATGGATGTCTCGGCTTTTTGTTTTCTATATACGAACGGAGAAAGAAGAAAAAACACCACCTTGCTGCTTTGCGCACGGCCCACACGATGATCATCCACGTTCCTTTTTCGTCCTTCTTGGAGTTTCGCACTAAATCGATTCGCATCGAGGCGAGAGAAGAGAGAAGAGAAGAGAAGAAAGCGTGGGCGTCGTCTCCGTCGTGCGTTCACAAGACGACGACGACGTAATAACGGATCTCGCCGCGTCACCATCGTCCTACGACATGACATACGTCATCCACGCACTCTTCGTGTCTTTCATTCAAACTTATGCCTTGTTTTGCACCATTCGCCTGTGTTTTGTAATCTCATTCTCACCGCGTGCCTAACCATATTCGTTACAATTATATCAATCGGCCCACTATCACCTCACCTCACCTCCTCCTTCTTCACCTATTCACTCGTTCGTTTTCAAGTTCGAATATCAAATTTCAAATGTCACAAATGACATCTGTCACTCGCTCGGTTTTCAATTTATTCGATTCCAATTTATTCCGATTTTTGTTTCACTTAAAACTTCTTCTCTCAACATTAATTAATCATACTGAAATACGTTTTCTAGTCTAATTAACGAGAACGGGGATTTTCATTTTGTTTTTTTCAATATGTGCACGCACGTACTCTCCTTTCTCAATTCGAATTTGAAATGTCACATTTTCAGCTTTGCTATGTTTAGAATTTCGAAAATCACATCATTTCAAGGCAACATTCAAATTATTCATATTACATATTAATTATCCGAATTTCGGATAATTAAAAAAAAAAGAAGAAGTAGAAGTAGAAGATAATGTCCGTTTCCGTTAATCAAACAATAAGACCGAGATATACGTTTTCTCTCGTAATTCATGAGAACGGGAATTTTTGTTCTTTTCTCTCTCTTCTCTCTCTCGCTCTGCTTTTTCTCCCATCTACTTTTACCTCACTTCTTTATCCTTTTCTACTTTGATTCTGGTACGAAACGTGAGTTCCATTGGAAACGAAAGCAAAGCGTCATGCATGCATGGTCCATGCCCGACCGTCTGTCCATTCGCTCATCGTCGCCGCAACAACACAAGAAGCGAACAAGGAGCAGCGAGTAATACAAATGGCGTGGTGGAATTTGAGAAAACCGAGTGTTTTTCTTCTTCTTGAGAAGAGGAGGAAAAAATAAACAACAATTATTTTCTTCTTAGATTGAATATCAAAAAAAAATCACGGAGAGTAGGTTTTGGAGAGTGGACATTTCTGAAGAGAAATTCCAATTCCGACGCGTGTCGCATCGGAATGCGCATTTAAAAGCACGCAAATGCACTACTACTACTATACTATATAGACAGACGCACTTTGCTGCTGCTACTACTACTATCTTCTATGTAGTAAGATACCTCTCCAATTCGAGACGAATCGTTTCACTTTCTTCCACATCACAGATTGATCACAACAACGATTACTCGTTGTTAATCACCGTTTAATTTCTCTTTCTTTCAGATCCGAATTTCGTTTTCTCTTTCGGATCGCACGTTTTCTTTTTCTTTTTTTTGGAGATTATCCGGAGCGAAATTCAGAGTTTTGATTGTAAATAAGAAAGAAATAAGATTGACTTGGATTGTCTTCTTACCAGATAACAGTCGATGGGTTTCTCGGTGTGCGTTTTGTAGGCCTTCTGGATCTCCGTTTGCTTGAGGGCGTGCGCGATGTGGAGGGCGCTAGCATCGAATCTTCCGTATTGGTAACCGGGAGATTCACCGCCCTGCGATGGATACGAGCTGGGGCTGTAACTGTTGTGTCTGCTCGATTCGTAAGTCACGACGCCACCTCCTCCTCCTCCTCCGACCCCCATACCTCCGATGATGATACTTCCAACACCACCACCACCTCCTGGACCACCGCCTCCCGTTGGAGATAGCTGAGACGCCGTCTGCTGTATGCCGCCGTTCACGTGCGTCGTCCGGACGTTCAAAGCTGCTCACGTATTATACGTATTTATATATAACTGTATCATACTGCTTTTCATTTGTTTACCTTCGGCGTCGAAGATGCCGCGACCCGGGCATCGGATCTGCTCGTTGACAAAGTTGCTCGATTTCGGTACGTTCAGTGCGGAACGTATGCCCACGGCGGAGCCGTCCAGGTGTCCGGGTCCGATCTTCGGCACGTGACTGCTGCAGTAGACCTCCTTGTCCTCCTGTCGATGCTGGTTATTGTAGTACGTCTTCAGGGTGAGTTTGGTGCCGCAGACGGCGCACTTGAAGCAACCGCCATGGAAGAAGGTCAGATCTTTGAGTGGACCGACCCTGTCCACCTGGTACACGGTGTCGTTGCATCGGAAACACGTGCCCTCGTAGAAGTTGGGCCTGTAAGCCTTGTACGTATTCTGCAACATCCCTCTCGAACACACGTTCTCTCAACCTCTTTCCTTCCTTCCTTCCTTCCTTCCTTTTTCCAGTCAACACCTGAAACAAATTATCATTTAATCATCTAATTTTATACTTTTGTTTCGCGAATTGAAAAACAATTGGTGCAATCGCCAACTGCACGATGATGATGATGGAAGAGAGAGAGGTGACGGTGAGAACGTAATAGCATTGAATATTATTATTATTGTTATTGTTGTTGTTGCACTAGACCAAATTCCGTTTGCATTTTACATGTATATTAACATCTACAATCATCGGTAATTATACATGATGATGATGACGATGATGTAGTTTCCCCGTTGTTTTCGTCGTCATCATCTTGATCTTTTATTCATTTTTGTTTGGTTTCGCAGAACATTTCACCAGGTTATTAGTATCGGGTTCGTCGCTTACCCAACTATCAAAATCTCTCGCTCAAGATTGAGGCGAGAATCGGATTGGATTCTCCGAACGTTGATAACCCGAAGAAATATCTTCTGCGTGAGGTGAGGAGGTGGAGAAGATCCTCCTGCTCTTTCAATCAAATTCCTTTTGCTCAATTAAAATGCACAAATGCACAAATTCACAATTTACAACACACACCGCACACCGGACTCTCACAGATTGATTAAAAGAGAGACACACACACAGAGAGAGAGAGCGACACCAAGTTGCACACACAAATAGATAGATTGTTAAAGAGAGAGAAAGAGAGAAATCAGCGTACAATTAAAATTCACTCGCACGTCCTTTCATTACATTTAATTATCGTTGTTGTTGCTTCTGCTGGTGCTGTTTGTTTTCTTTTCTTTCGCAATGTGTCCGCCCTTCGTTCTGTTAATCTGATTTGCACACACTATGTTTCGTTGTTTGTTATTCCTCGGTTTTTCTCTTGATGTCCTTCTGGTCTCTCTTCTCAATCTTAAAGAGTGGAGGACCGTGCGACGGCCATGTTGCTGCATTCGACACTGACTGACTGACTCAAGAACGGTTTTTGTCCGCGCTCAGGTGGCTTTGCCTTTGCATTCGATCCCACCACCACCACCACCACTTCTTCTTCTACTTCTTTTCGCTCACTCTCCTTCTCTCTATCACTCTTTTTGGTCGTCGTCGTCGTCGTAGCCTACTGCTGCTGCTGCTGCTGTTGCTCATGCCGCTGCTTCTGTTCGTGGCCCCATTCACGTTTCACCTGTCGCTCGTCTCTCACCTACAAACGCACACACACACACACACATATAACAATGGCATGGTCCAATTCTCTGCGTGCCAGAATCAAAGAGGATTCCGAAGAACGCGAACAAATGAATGAATAAGCAAACATGCAATTCAATGTAAATAGTGTTTCTTCGATCGTTTCTTTGAACCTCAGCAGCAGTTCTTTTCCAAATGCGCGCATATCTCAACAAAAAAAACAACACCCATTTGCGGACGTTCTTTTTCAATTCGCACTTTGACTATTCATTACGCAACGCATGCAACCAGTCGTACAATCAAATTGGAAATCTATCATTCATCGCGAGGGAGAAAAAAAAACGTTTGTTTCTGTTTAAAACTCATTTATTTATAAACTGAAAATGAACAGAATCTCCATCATCGTCGAAAGATTTGTCTCTTTTGTTGTTTACATAACATACACGTAAACATGACAATACTGTTACAACGAGCGTGCAACGAAATGATGCAAGTGACAGATGTCACTTGCAACATGTCCTATCCGACATTTGATCGGCGTCTATGATGATTGACATATAAATAAGACATATTCGAATTTCTCATCGTAGGCAACCATATGTGTATACAACATAACTTTATTTTTTGTTTTGTAAATGCAAAGCAATGATTGGCCACATTTGAATATCTCAATATACTGGCAACCAAACACGCATATATCATCAGATTAAAGTTGTGAGAAATACTGAAAACGAAAGGAAATTAATTAACAAAAACAAACAATAATATCTAACTTATAATATTTATTTGAATTCGATATACAATATACGTCGTCTTCATCAATAAATATATGTTGTTGTTTTTTTTTTATTATTATTATAATATATATATATATTTATGAGTTATTTAACATGTTTTTATCTTTATTTTTTTTTAAAATATCTGAACATTTTTTTGTAAATCATTTTCAATAATAACTTAAATATTTTTATATGTATATAAATTAATTTGTTATCAATGTATGTTGTCGCTGCATTCGAAACTGGAGAAGATCCCAACAAACAAACAAACAAACAAATGAATGATGCGAACTTAACACTTTTTAAAAAGATCTGTCGACGATCGCAGCAGCAGCAGCAGTACTTCACTACTAAATCTATTTGGTTCATTTTTGGCATTTTTTCATCATCGATCGGGTGCCAAAGATATGTTAATCTAAGAGACGGAACAAAATCGAAAACGAAATCTACAAATTCTATAAATGTAAAAAGACGACGACGACGACGACGACGACGAAGAAAGTAGAAGAACAAAATGGGCAAAGATGAAATACAGATAGTTATAGATTTCTATAGTGGACATTATTATGTATGTGTATAGTAAGTATATAGTTGTTCACTTATAGTCATTTAGTTTAAATTACATAGGTATATAGCCAGAGATAGGTAAATAGATAGAAGAGAGTATATGTGTATATAATAAATTACATTTTCTACAGCTTTAACAATTCGCATTATTATAAATATATTCTTGTATTTGCTCTCAATAACAATAAGCACTCGATCACGACGAGTAGTAGTAGTATAGGTAGCTAGCACTAGACAAGTTTGAAAAATGGTTTTTTTTTTTGTAAAATTTCCCGAAAAGACTTATCTAATTGTGTATTTTTTTTGTTGAAAATGTTCTACAGTAGAGTGAAAACTCGAAAATATTTCTTTATTTTTTTCTTTTTATATATCTACAACAACAACGAAACAAATCAAAAATAGAAAAACGAAACGCTACGTAGTTAGATTTTGGTTCCCGAAATTAAGATTTTTCATCAGACTTTTTCAATTAGTTTATTTTTTTTGTATTATTTGTTAAAAAAAACTATGGCAATTTAAATGCGTTTCTGTTGCAAACACTTTGCTTTTCTTTCTACAGGAATATACGAGGATATTGAGAAGAACCGTCGCGTACTGAGACTACTTCAAACAGTATTCATAGTAAATTTATATATATTTGTATATAAGGAGAAGTAGTAGTGCAAAAAGTGTTTGTTTTCTCCACCAATAAAGTTCGTTAGTTAATAATAAGATTTCAACGTGTTTATCAAATATTATATAGACATATAAAGAGAGAGAGAGAGAGAGCGAGAGAGAAAGATATAGATTAAAACAACGATGATGAGGACGAAACAGTTTGATTTTATATATTTGATTTTCTCCAGCTAATATCTCTTTGTTCACTTGTTTCTCTGGTTTTCTTCTTCTATTTTTTTTTAACACTTAACGATTACGAATGCTCATTAAATAAATATTTCTATGTATATAGTTTGTATGTATATAGTCTAAGAAATGGCAGGCTTGCAAACGACGACGCACACTTTCTTCTTACTTTCATAATCATAATCAAATATCAACATTCATCTGCGGTCTCGACGGAGCGCGCGAGCACGGACGGACAAATGAAGAAGCAGCAGAAGATGTTTTCAACAGTGATTCTTCGTTAATCACGTGCGCGCCCTCCCCTCCAACTACTACGGCAATTACACTGCAGATTAAAAACAAAAGACAACTACGGAAATTGAAACAAAAACAAAACTAAAATAAACATAGAAACAATGGACATTTATACAACGACGCCACTTCGCGACCCTAACAACAAATGGAAGAACTTGTTTCCCCTAGTTACTAACAAAACTTAAACAAACGAATAAATAACCCGAACAGAAAAGAAACGAACGAACGAACGAACGAACAACGGCAAAAAAAAAAGACAAATATTACATATACAATTCACTAGATAAATAAATGTATGTGGTGTATGTTTGTATATTAAAACGAAAAGAGAGAAAAGGAAAGAGGAGGTGCTGTGAATGTGTGTTTTTGTTGTATAATTTTGTTTGTTCATAAAGAACGAACGAAAAGTTGCACCGTCCACCACGGAAAGAGATTAAGTACTTTGCAAGTCAAGTAGCAGCAGTAGTAGTAGTAGTAGTAACTGAATGATTTGTATGAGTGAGTGTGTGTGTGTATGTTTTTGTTTCCCCCTAGGGATTCTTTTTTTTCCTTCAGCGTTTCCTTAACTTGCTTCTGCTTCAGCTCTTCTTCTTCTTCTTCTTCATCTTTCGTGTGGGTGGAGGTCGTGTCGACGAGTCTTAGAAGCCCTTGATGACTTTGTACACCTCCAGAGTGGAAAGCAGCAGATAGATGACCCAGAGGGAGAAGAGGAAGGCAGATGTCAGGTACTTCAGACAGGTGGGGCCACCGAGCTCACCGCCCACCACCCTCGCTCGCCTTATGAACAGCACGCAGATGGTGATCACCGCCATCGTGCAGAAGATCGTTACCGAGAACGCCAAACTATTGATGATATGATAATATTCGATGTTTTCAATCAAACGATCAACTGTTATCAGATTCATTTCATCAGATTAAAACTTACTTTCCGGGATCGACCTTGAACGGTCTGCCGTGCGCCGCATGATAGAAGGCTGCTATGGACCAGGCGACTCCGATACCCAAGAAGACGTTCACCGCGTTGCTTCCGGTCACGTTACCGACGCTGGCGTCCGCGTATTTATCCTGGATGGCGGCCACCTTTGATGCAAAAGTATCTGCACGAAAAACAACAATCATCTATCATCTATGCTGAAGAAGCGTTCAGGAGTGAAAGAGAGAGAGTGAGAGAGAGAGAGAGAGAGGAATGGACAGTTTATTTATTTTAAATATTTATGGGCAAAAGTTACGGATCGATGGGGCGCAGAAATGGACGGATACTCATAAATATTTTATATGTTTTTCGGAACCACCCCCCCGATAACCGCGACAGTAGGTAGACGACGACGACGACCACGGGATAGAGAGAGCGAGCAGATAAAAACTATTATGGGTCAAAACTATTATGGAAATAAAAATAAAAGCCCGGATTACAGCACAAATGTAAAATAAATATATAAACAAACAGACAAAAGAGGTCGGATTTATGATCCTCCCAGCAACCGACGCCGCCAACCAGATCACACTTCTCCATCTCATCTACGCCTTCTTTTCATCGCATCGCACCAGTGACGGATTAAGTACATTTTCCTTAGTCCGCTACTGCTTTGACACGACAATGAAATCACTTAGATTGCTGAGATTTAAAAATCGGACGGATGCGCCGGGCAATTGAAACGAACGGTGAATTTGAATTGAAGTGATTGAAGTTTGCCCTGTCCGCTGTCATCGACTCGATGTTATTTGTCTTTTGTTCTACTGTACGATTGTACCTGGTATGCTGGTTCCCAAGGCGACGAACAGGATGGCCGTCACCGAGTCCTTGATGCCGAGGGTCGCGCCGAAATGAGAGGCAACGTCGCCGATGATTGCCGTGACGACACCGATGCAAAGGATGGACACGACGAAGCACAGGTATCCCTTGAACATACCTGAAACGAACGTTCGGTTTATCAGTTCAATAGGAGGATAATGGGGAAAAATTTAAAACTCTCGTCTCACCGGTTGGCGGAACGCAGGCGAACACCAGCTTCCAGAAGAGCGTGACGACGTGCAGGAAATAATCGAAGCAGTTGGGCGCCTTCTCCTCGGAGTCATCGCTCGCACTAACCGTCAACGCCTCCACGAACTGCTCCTTCCACGAATTCGTGCCGATCAGTAGCGAAGCGTTTGCCCTCTGTACCAGCTTATCAACGGTATTCTGTAAAACAAACAAAAAAAAACAATCATCGTCGTTGCAAAGATCATCATCATCTTCGTGGCATACCTTGAACTCTCTGCTCTCGCGTACGCGCAGCTGCGCTTTGGTGATGTCGCCCAACCTGGGTTTACCCAGAATGGCGATCCTCTCCGCTTCTGTGCGGTCCTCCGGCTTCTTCCGTTCGGCAGCCGCCGCTAAACTGGCTATTGCATCTGAACCAAATCACAAATACAAATACACAATCATTAACAATACAAAAATACGTGCAAACATTAAGTGATTTTGTACAGTGTGCAATTGCGTGATAGTTTTTGAATATATGTGTATGTGTGTGTGTGTGTGTGTGTAAGAGAGAGAGAGATAGAGAGAAATTGGCATGCTTAAAAACAAACAAATATATAAGCGGTTGCACAAAGAAGAGAAAAGTTATGCAAAATGCATATAAGATAAGTGATAAAAACAAAAGAAAAGAAAACAAAAAAGAAACACGCAAACATAATCAAATCCCTAACCCGCGATACAGGGTGATTCCCTTTTTTTACACTTCGAATTAAATGGTCTTGGAAACGACGCTTTAATAGAATCACAATTTCCTAGAATCACACTGTACGCAGAGTGGGTGGGAGTCGAGTGCGGCACGCGTTTCAAGTACGTTTCAGAGGGTTTTATTCTGTTTTTCTTTTTTTTTTAAATTTAAATAATCGTGCAAATCTCCGTGACCCACGCAGCGCGCCCTTAATTAATATTGCATATTCCACAACAAAAATAATGCGGGCGCCGCGCGTGTCAGAAGAAAACGAACGTAAACTTTCGACTTGAGTATTAATAATAATCTCTGAAAACTTTCGTGAAACGCAAACCGCACACTTTCCATCGTATTAGATACATTTATATTGATAGCGTTATTTGACGATTAGAAAATCGTTCTCTCGTTGCACACAATATTACGCTACAACTAAAGGTAAACTATAGAACGACAAAAACAAAATAAAGAGAAACAGATTACGGTAACCAGGGAACCCGGACAGCTGTTGCAACACACGTATACAACTATCAATAGTTACGTACGTAGCATAGCAACGGCTGGAAACATCCATTTCAGGATTGGTGAGCGAATGACTCGGACTCAATTATTCACGCGGAATAAAACAAGCGACAGCGGATGCGCCGGGTGACAAACGTAAACATATTTTCCTGCTTCTTTCTTTAATTAAAATTCAATTAGTGCGAATATTTATTTTCTCTAGATTGTTTTTGAGTTCGTATTAGAATGCCTGTTCTGGTTTTTTTTTTTCGTTTACTTACTTCGCATGCAGTGTTGCGGGAAGAGAAGAGGGATGAGGTGTGCACACACAGACAGAGAGGTAGAGAGAGAGACAGATAGAGAGAGAGATATATATGAAAACAAAACAAAAAAAGACAAGAATCAACAAAACAGACACGGATTAATATTCATCTGAAGCGCGTTTATTTGATAATCATCCCACTTCGATCTTCTATAAAATCGCATTACGTAAAATATATATAATAATAATAAAAATAAACAAAACAAAAAAGAACAAAAAAAAACTGAAGATCAACAAATGAAAAGTTTAAATGCGGTTCCTTACCACCAGACATCTGCGGCTCGCCCAGCTCCACGTAGAACAGCACGTCCTTCTCGTAACTATCCTCTTTGATGATCGTAATGAAAATGCTTTTTCTGTAGAAGAAACAAACGTTAAACAATGTACAATATGATAAAACAGAAGATAAAACAAAATGATTGAGGTGAAGTCTGATTTGATTCAACGATTTCGTATCCTATAATTGCGTAACTTAGTCGGAAAGACGAATGGAAAGTACATAAAAAAAATTATAAATAGAAAGAGGTAACGGTATTGGTCAGAAAGAAAGGAAAGAAGGAAGTAAAGAACAAAGGCTAATGGATTTTATTGACGGAGACGGATCGCTAAATTTGTAGCTCAATTTAATCTTTCCTTTTGCCTGCCTGACCTCGACGGACCTCGATCATCCCGTGCACACAAATGTGCACGACGAGATTGAAAAATGTTACCCCCCCACTCTGCCCACCTTTCAATCTGTCAAATTGATCTGCATAAACTGTCAAAGTGACGCGCGTTATGAAAAAAAAAACACAAAATATTGAAAGAAATAACAAAATGTGTATCTTAAAATACATAACATTTACAAAGAGTGGGTGATATTGATGATTGAACGACGTCCATTTCAATATTATTAATTTTTATAATCACTGAAACGACAAAAACCAATGACGTTAGCCCAAAATGTCAAATTTGACGTTTCGATTGACGTTTGGATTTTAATGCAATGCACACTCGATTCGTTAAATCACTATTCAGTGAAACACAATTAAACTGTTTATTGCTTCTTTTGTTTTTTCCCCTTCTCTGCCTTTTTTTTCTCTATTTCACTCTACTGCAGGTTTTTCCTTCCTCCAGTGATTTTCCGTTCTCGGCCACAGTTCAGTGAAGATTTATATGCACGTTTTGCGAAAACACGTCCGTTTATTTTCGCAACCGTGGCCGACACTGCCGCTGCCGCCGCCGCCTCCACCGCACTCTCTCTATTATTTTTCGCAATTGGAAAATTTACTCCAAAGAAAACATTTACACGTATTCCATCTTCCATCGCTTTGGAAGCAAGCAATATCGTGTCTTAGGTCACTTTTAGCCCTCATCGATTCACTCAAATTTCCTGAATAATTTAAAAAAATACAAACATCTACATTTCTCTGCATACAGTTTATCAATCGGCACCTTTCATTAGCGCCACTGATAAAAACCGTTGTTTAGTATTCGAATATGTAGTATAAATATGTGTGGAGAGAAAAAAAGAATCTTTTATTTACATTTTTCCACTTGCTTTATTTACGTTCCCATTTCCGCGTTAAATATCGCAAGAAGAAGAAAAAGAGAGAAAAAACGGAAGAGTTGGAAAAATAAAATAAATAAATCGGATAAATCGGCACACGTCAAAATATTTAAATGATCTCAATGAAAATCGGACGCAATCGGAACGGATAGGCCAACTCTTTTTCCACAAACAATCAAATAACAAAAATTTACACTTTTGATCTTTAATTAGAAGGACCGAACGGAACGGAACAGAACGGATTTCGACCACTAAATAGTAATTAGCTTAATCAATAAATGGCAATTGATATTTAAATGAATGAATCCAGCAGATGGATTCGCTTGATTGCACTTAAAGCGAGCGAGCGAGCGAGTGAGCAATTAGACCGCATTGTTATCGTAAACCCTTTTCGGAAGAAGGGAGACGCAAATTTGGTTGCCTATTGTGTGGTGGCATTATAATATTTCATAATCATCATCATCATCATAATCATCGTTATTTTGCCTGCCTGCAAATAAAATGAGATTCTGTCATTTCAATTCCAATTAATGGACGCAATAAACATGCCAGAACCGTTTATGAAAATTGCGCCGCAATTTCACAAATTAACAAACAAATCGACTTGAACTAAAAAAAAAATGGCAACTTGATCGCAACTGTTGTGTAAAATGAAATAAAATAAAAGCTACATTATGGACAAAATCGTTTTTAATTAAAACTATTAGGATTGTGTTGCTGTTCTGTTCTTCACGTGGATTTCTTTCTTTCTTTCATTTCCGTTCCAAATTCCACGTTTTCTTCTTTTTTTTCGTTTTCTTTCTTTTTATATTCCTCTCGACTTCGCAATTACGGGACGGGATGCGTTAATTAACTTTCGGACACGAATTACCGGGGAAAATATAAGAGGAGGAAATTTTCTGTCCCTGGGGGGGACAAGTTGGATCGTTATCTAATTGCGTTTCCGTGAAAAGAGAAAGAAACTTTATCCGTTTATTTCGGACCCTCTCCCCTGTTGTTGTTGTTTCGTTTTCGTGGCCACCGCCGCAGCAGTAATTCGATTAAGAAAAATCTTATTTCGGCGCCGCGACGCAAGAATCGCATGTTCTTGTCTAGGGAGAAATGGATGGTCCAAGCATCAGCAACATAAAAACTTGATTAATTGAGCGAAAAAAGCCACGCAAAACACAATAAGTTTCCGAGTCTCCGAAAAGTCTCGTTAGTTCGTCTGGTGTTTTGGTGGTGATCGTTAAAAGAGTTTTATAGATCTAGAAATTTTCTAGGAATCGAGCTCACGAATATCACTTAAATTTAGAACGACGAATCGATTCATTCCTTTTTTCTTTTTTTTTTTGCAAAACAATCTTCAGATGACCAACGAAATCGTAAACATTTGAAACATTTTGTTTTCTTTTAAAATGGACACGTGCACGAGCGGCAGAGGCAGCTAGGACGACGAACGACATGTTGACAAATCGATTTGCTTCTAAATAATGTGTTCGATTATTTCGTCCACCGGAGAGAGGAGAACGGCGACGACGACGAACCGGTAAACAAAACAGAACGACGAAGGCGATGCATGTTTCAGGACCGAGAAAAACAAGTGCACACGAACATCTCTCTCTCTCTACACTCATTCCTGCTACACTTTAGCTAAATGGGTTTTTTCTCGCTCTCTCTCTCTCTATGTCTCTCTCATCGAGAGTTCGATAAATATTAAATTAATTGCATCACCTCTCCTCGGAACAGGAAATATTTTCAGTAAAAACACTTTAGGAAACGGGCGGGAGAAGAAGAGGAGTGCAATCATTAATAAGTGTGTAATAAGCTGCTGCTGCTGCTGCATATGCATATGCAAGAGTCGATAAATGATTCATAAAATAAGTTATCGGTTCTCCAAAACTTGGCACAGACTTACCGCAATCACCAATCATAACTTATTATCATTACTCAAGTAATGCAAGTATTTTACAACAACTTTTTGTTTCGTTTTTGCCATCAGTAAAATGAAAACTTTTTGCATTTTGCAGCAGCAGCGCACAATATTGATTGGATTAGTTCTTAATCTTTATCGGTCCGTATTTTTGCTGTATCGACGGAACACGCGAACCAAAATTATTGTGCTGCTAGAGATTTTAAGTCACGTCATACATTCGGAATCGATATATATGTATATATATGAACACTAAAAGTATATGCGATGCACGAGTCGCCTCTTCATAGATCTCAAAACGGCTTCGGCTTCTTGCAGCGTTCTGTCTTGAATTCGAAATTTCGAAGAGAACAGTAGAAGAAAGACGAAAAATATATATTCAGAAACAAATGAGAAATAAGATGCAAATTGCCGTCCATCCGTATCCTTGGCAACACGAGCACGAGCCTACTAGAGATACGAGATACTTGGTACAACAGGCACGCCGCCGCCGCCGTCACCATCCCAACCCACTACGATCATTCCATTATGTTAATCGCCTGGAAAACATCTCCAAACGGTAAAGACGGACTATCGTCGATTGTTGTTGTTGCTGCTGTTGTACACACGTATAATTTCCGCTTCTCCGGAAAATATGAATTTATTTTCGTTCCGTAAAAGCTTCTTCAACTCGGCGTCGCGACGGCTCCGAATTTATGGCACCATTAATTAAGAGTGCCCTTCCCTTCCCATCCCATTCCCATTTTATCATTCTTTGTGGGGAAGGAAGAGGAGGGTACGTGCTTTGTGGCCATCTCATCCGCAACCACTACTACTACTACCACCAACACCACCGCCAAGCCGATCCTTCTTTTCGACGATCTCGAAAGAAACCAGGTCATGACAACAACAACAACAACGACTACAAAAAAATGCTCAAGATAATCAATATTTATGCAATAATATTGATTATCTTATTTGCACGATTGAATTGAGTTCTTCGAAAACTTTTGTCATCTGCTGCAGCCGTCTAGATTTACGTGTAAACTTTTTCGATTTATTGTTCGTTAACGGAAGAAGTGAAGTGAAGAGAAGAGATGATGGTATTAATCTTCCTTGCACTGAATAGGAAATGCACGGATCTGAATCGGAACAAAAGGGATGCACCCGTGATCTCGGTGAAAAGCGATTTCCAATTCGATTCAGGCGATTCCGAATAATCGCCGGAATCAATTTCACTCTCTTTGCGAGCGGCGAAAAGAGTCGCGCACGATATAAAGAGAGGATGATATAAAATAGAGAGTAGTGAAGCACTTTTAACGATGCGATTGATGGCAAACCTAAACCACGACCATCATCTCTTTCACTCCCACTTGCGTCGTTTTCTTTCTTTTGCACATACTTTTGGCAGATAGACACATCCCCGGCATGGCATGGTTTGTGGAGGGATTTGTGCAAGAATCGATTCACTCTTTGTGTATCATCCATATGTATATGTGTGTTTGTGTGTTTGCGAGCGAGAGAAGCATTTTAATGGACATTCGGCCGCCGCCGCCGCCACCGCCGAGCCGCCCGCCCCTCACGCAAATATCCGACGTCGCCGACGCCCCCCCGCCCGCTTCAGTAGCAACACATATAAAATCCCCCCTAATCTAGACGACCTCGACTCACGTCTTCGCATAAACAAATGCGATTCAATTACGCAACTGTAATATCAGATCGAAGTAGATTCGATCTTGGGATACAATATTCATTTACAACGACCTCTTTTTTTTTCTTGCTTCTTCCGAATTAAGACTTAATCCAATATAACAACAACAACACGATAAACAATATTTATTAGAAGATTTAGTAAGTGTTTTCACATTTCATTGATTTTCTCGGAAACTATAATAGATAATTCTCTCAGATGTGTA